TTGTGAACCGTGTCTCCTCTAAGTGTTTCTAATCCAGCGAATTAGACTTGGACCCAAACCATGTTCCCGGTGAAGGTAAAAGTGGAGAAATCAGGTGAGGACTGAGGATCCAGGATACCCGAGAGACGTGGGTTATCGCGAAAAAGGGAACTATGTGACATCTCTCTGCAGCCCATCTGACAGTCGCATTAGAGCATGCCACCTTCAAACCATCCCGGCTGTGTTCAGAGTAGCTTTGAGATTGAATGGTGGTCGTTCTGGCCCTGTGGCGGTCGTAAAACTGCGGGGTCCGGAGCCCCTAACTCTAAGAAGAGTCCTTTTCTTGTTCTACTTCAGTTTTCCCATTTCTGGAAGTGGGCACGAGTCAGCAATTGTGCTATGACCCTGAAGTACAGGGAATCAATTCTCAGTTGCTGTATTCCAGTAACCTTAGGGCGTAGGAAGTGTGGTGGATGAGAAAACATAGGCTCAGGCAGAGCCAGACGGGAACCCTACAATGGCGTGGTAAAGGGCAGTGAGGCGGGAGCACAGAATCCAGAAGGAAAAGGTGGTCAGTAGTAAATAGTGATGTGAGGTGTTAAATGGGAGAAGTGTTACCTAAAACGAGATAAGGCTGTAGGTGCGCCTATGGTAGATCGTTTGCTTAGCACTCCCTGGACCCCTGGTTTCATCCCCAGCCCTGAAAAATAAGTAAAACCAGGCCCTAGTGATATTTCCTATAGTCACAGCTAACCAAACAAATCAGTCCTCAAGGTGGGAGGAAATGGCAGTTGGAGTGGCGATGTGAGGGAGTAGCCAGCGGAACCAAGGGAGCGAAGTGGAGGCAAAGAGGTCGTGGGGAGGACAGATTGATGGGTCCAGGACTTTTCCTCTGAGGGAAATGGGTAGGTTTGTGAACCAAGGAGTGAGTTGGTAAATGTGTACCACAAGATACCAAATAAAACAAAAAACCAAAACAGAACAAAAACAATAAGAAAACTTGAGTGGAATAGTGGAGGGGCTGTTTGTGTTGGCACACACCTTTAATCCCAGTGCGCGGAAGGCAGAAGCTGGCAGATCTCTGAATTCAAGATCAGTTTGTTCTGTTTAGTAAATTCCAGGCCACCCCACAGCTGCCTAGTGAGAGACACTAAAGTGGAAGGAGCCTTGCCACAAATATGCAACAGGACAAGAGTAGGCTTGGAAACACCAGGCTGAGTCCACAAATATGCAACAGGACAAGGGTAGGCTTGGAAACACTGGGCTGAGTCCACAAATATGCAACAGGACAAGGGTAGGCTTGGTAACACCGGGCTGAGTCCAGACTGCATTTTCTGTGGTCAGGATTGTGGAATCCTGAAGGGGTCCATGCTGGGGAAGATCAAAGCCAGGTTGCTTGTCTGTTTTTATTACTTTTTTCTCTGTTTTGCTTATTGTTTGAGCCAGGGTCTCAAGTAGCTGAGGCTGGCCTTGAACTCTTAATCCTCCTGTCTCAGCCTCCAGAGCTGGTGCTGGTATAGCAGCTACTATACCTAGCTAGACCTGACTTCCTTCATGGGGGTGGGGGGTGTCTCTTGTCCACATCGTGGAAAGTGGATCAGAAGGAGAGAATGAGGCTAGGAGCTGAGTGGGAGGAGAAGGCAAGGTGGGGAGGGAATACATGGTTAGACACACAGGAAGCCAAGTGGGCTGAGACCAGGAAGGGAAAGGGGTGTCTATGGTGAGTCCAGGAGCCTGTGGACTGGTGGGGATTCAGGAAGAGGGGTTAGTTTAGAGAGCCAGACCTAGTACAGGACCCCGTAGAAAGCCCCTAAGGGCTGTCCATGGAAGGTGTGCAGATCATAGACCTTAAGCTGGTGTTGTGTGGGGGAGAAACCAACAGACTGGAGCAATGGCAGCAGCCTCGGCTTGACCTCTGCCTAAGGCTCAGCTGCCCCATTCTGTCTTTGTCTTATTTCTCCACTGAGGGGCACCAAAGCTGCCACTTTCAGGGCACCTGGACCAGACCTTAGGGTTGCCTCCCACAGAGGATGTGGGGTGCACATATGTGAACTGATTCCTACTTCGTACCTTCTGCCCTCAGAGATGGAGATGGCCAAAGCCCGGAACCAGCTGGATGCTGTTCTTCAGTGTCTCCTGGAGAAGAGTCACATGGACAGGTTGGGGTCTGCTCCAGCCTGGGGGACCACAAGGGTGGGGATTATGTCTGGACTCTTTGTGGTTGGGATCTGGATGAGATCTAGAGGCTGACACAGGGAGAAAGGTGTTCCCTGGGGAGATTCATTATTATCACACTCTGGGCCCTCAGTACCCTAAGCCTATGGTGCTTTTTGCTCTTAGGGAACGTCTGGATGAAGATGCTGGAAAGACACCCTCGGATACACACAACAAGTAAGAGGTTTTGATAGGGTTTAGACCTGAGAGTTTGGGTTAGGTAACTTTTCCCTCCTCCGAGTCATAACCGTCTTATATGGACAGAGATACCTGCAGTGTAAGTGGCTCACACCTTGGGGATGTTTGTGGGATACAAGGCCCGAAGGGTAGCAGTAAAACCCCAGGATGTCCATTTTTGTTTGTTTTCAGTGCTAGGGATTGAACCCCAGGGTTTTTGCCCATGCTATGCAAATGCTCTACTACCGAACTACATCACCCCTGCCTTGGGGTGGGGGTGTTGAGCAGGTGTTTATTAAAGGCTCGGCCTGCTGATACCCTGTCTCTCCCTGCAGGGATTGCTCCATCGCTGCTACTGGCAAAAGGTAAGGTGGCTGGGGCCCCAGCCCACTCTCGGGTTCCCAGTCCCCAGCTCCGGGTTGATGCTCACCTTCACCACACAGGCCATCCGCCCGCTTCCCCCACCAGCGGAGGAAGAAGAGGAGGGAGATGGACGATGGGCTGGCTGAGGGGGGTCCTCAGAGATCCAGTGAGTAGGCAGGGGCCCGAGAGGGTGGGCATGGAGCCAGGAACTAAATAAGGGTGCTCATTTGTGTCCCACCTCACCACCCCAGACACATATGTGATCAAGCTGTTTGACCGGAGTGTGGATTTGGCCCAGTTCAGTGAGAACACACCATTGTACCCCATCTGCCGTGCCTGGATGCGCAACAGTCCCTCAGTGCGAGAGCGGGAGCGGTCACCCAGCTCACCACTGCCCCCTCTGCCTGAGGATGAGGAGGTGGGATGACCCAGAGGCCAGAGAGAGCAGTGGGTGGATAGACTCAAGATTCACCCCCATTGGTGGTAGATTGGTGTAATCTCTGGGCCCCTTAAATGAGTATGGAGTCGTAGAGTAGGACACACAGCTATGTGCCATTAGGTGAAGACAGAGGTCCTTAGGCCAGATAGATACAGCTCCCTAGGGAACAGGGATTCCAAGAAATAGCAGGCTAAACAGGGATCTTTAGTGCAAACAGATGTGGCTACCAGTTGGGGCCTTGGTGAGCAAATGTGGACCCTATGAGTGGGGTGGAGGATGATGGGGGTTTGGAAGTCATCTGGCCTAAGAGGGCAGACAGGGGTCCCTGGGACGGACATAGGACTTGACTATGTCAAGATAAGGGTAGACATGTTGCCCCCTGGACAATTCCTTAAGGCAGGCTCTTGACCCCCACCTTGGGCTGACAGGTATAGATGGAATTCCCTGGGCTTGGCAAGGGAGACAAGGGTTCTCAGACTGACAAAAAGATCCAGTCCCTAGAACAGGAAGACCATTCTCTAGCTGGTAAAGGTATGTGTCCCTCTGCTGTGACTCCTCCAGGTGCAGGTTTCTGACTCATGTCTGTGTCACTGGGAAAGGTAGGAGGGATGCATGTACTTTAAACATTCTGCTCTGACTCTTGGGCCTCACAGTGGGGCTTGGTCTCCCTAGGGGTCAGAGGTCATCAACAGCAAAAGCCGTGATGTGTACAAGCTGCCTCCACCCACAGCCCCTGGATCACTTGGCGATACCTGCAGATCCCGAATTCCATCCCCCCTGCAGCCTGAGACCCAGGGTACCCCAGATGATGAAGTAGGTGTATGAGGCTGGCCTGGAGTCAGGACATGTGTTGGGAGGTTGGGGCGTGGCCACCTAGCTGGGCCTCTCTGTCCATGCAGCCCTCCGAGCCTGAACCATCTCTTTCCACGCTCATCTGTCGCAACATGCAACGCTGGAAACGTATACGCCAGAGGTGAGCGTGCCCTGCCCACTTGCTCCCTGCCTGCATGCCCTCTGCAGCAGTTGCTAAATCCTCCTTTACTTTGCTAGGTGGAAGGAGGCATCTCATCGGAATCAGCTTCGTTACTCAGAAAGCATGAAGATCCTGCGGGAGATGTATGATCGGCAGTGATGTTCCCAGTCCCCCACCCCCACCCCAATAAACCTGCCCCCAACCAAAACTGGCCCAGACATAAGGCAGTCGATGAATCTTTAGCAACTTTATTGGGGATTGATAGGAAGGGCATGAGGTGACAGGGAACGGAGTTGTGACTGATCTTACAGGACAAGTGATGGGAAGTGGCTGCTTAGGCTATCTGGCTGCAGGTGGGGAGTCAGGACAAAGGAACCCAAGGGTTCTGGTTCATTGGCCTAGCACATCTGGGGAAGTTGGGGTGCCTGTACAGTCTGAGTTTGAGGCTCCTGGTTGGTGGGAATAGATTTCCAAGGATTGGGAAATCAGAACAGGATTTGGGAACGTAGGCTCCTGGAGTTTCAAGTCAGAAAATGGCCTAGGGCAGACTGTTAGGTGGCAGGGACAGGATCTAGAGTCTGGTGGACCAGACTTGAATGTTCTGATGTGGAAAGCCCATGCAGTCTGGGTCAGACTGGCCTTCCCATGGGTCATTGTGGGGAATTAGGTGACAGGCCTGGGGTGTGTGGAGCACTGTCTGCATTGTACTCTGGTCTCACAGTGTGGGTATTCTACAACTTAGAAGTGCAGTAGGAGGCCTAGTGCTAGTATAAGCCCAAAGTGTGGTCAGTCAGGTGGGAGTGTAGACCAAGGAGGGTGACAGTGTTTGTGTTGTCTCTAGGGGGGTATTATGGAAGGGGCTGAAAGCTGATGAGGCATGGCAGGCTTGGGTGTGTGTGTGTGTGTGTCTCAGTTACTAAGGCCCAGGTAGGGCTTTAGGTGGAAAGGTCCTAGGGGAAGACACTCAGATTTGGTGGGGAGGAACTGTCTTGACAGCGATTGGGATATCTGGCTGGGCAGCGGAGTCAGATTGGCTTTTAAAAGGGAGCCTAAAGAGACTTCTTAGGTTCGGTCCTATAATGCCCAGACTCCTACTTGGCAGCAGGTGGTGATGGAAGTGGGGCCTGGGCCGATGCTGGTGTGGCCTGGATGGACAGGACACCCTCAGGAGACAGTGCTGAGGTCACAGCAGCAGGGTCCACGCCAGGAGGCAGGCGGTAGCGGCGGTGGAACTCTCGAGCAATGAATCCATGTTCATCCTGGGGGAGAAAATGGACTTGAGCGTCCCACCTTCCTGCCCAACCTTGCTGTCCCATCTGGCCTGCAGGCCTACCGGGCGCTCCTCATGCCGTGCGTGAACCTCCACGTGGTCGCCAACCACCTTGACAGAGATTTCCTCTGGGGAGAAGTGCTTCACATCCAGCAGCACAGAAAAATACCCAGGGTCCTTGGCCACCTGCACACATGGGACATAGGTGTGGAATTTATTTATTATGTATAGTCTTCTGGGGTACCAGATCTCACTACAGATGGGAGTGAGCCATTATGTAGTTGCTGAGAATTGAACTCAGGACCTCTGGAACAGCATTCAGTTGTCCTAACCTCTGAGCCATCTTTCCAGCCCCCAGGTGTGGGATTTTCATTGGATGGGGGCTCGGCTTCTGGGACTCAGCACCCCTACGCTATAGGTTACAGTGCTGCTGCCCAAGGACTCGGGTAGACAGTCCCCTTCTCGGAGTCACCAGAACCTCAACCTTACACATAAATAACTAGCCCCCTCCCTCCCCTTGTAGGCACTGGGTCCATCTCTCCTGAACTTCCGCATTCATAGGGTGACAGAGTTGGGTACCTGCCCTGTACCCCCACCCCATGTCATTGACTCCACAGCCGCCATGTCTTTGGTTACGAGACCTCTTATTCCCCACCACGCTAGCAAATGATGCCACTTCCCCATCTCCAGAGTTCTCAGGTCATGAAACTTCCTGTGCCTTCTAATTTACGGTACTCTTCCTCTGCTTTAAAGTGACCAAGGCTGCCTTCATCAAATCACCCAACTGGGAGACGGATACACAAGACCATTCCAACCCTTCGGGACTCACTGTCCCTTCCCCGGATTCCTGGGGTCACCTTCCTCCTTCAGTCCTTCCACCCCCGAGCTATGAGACTCCACTCCTTGCCCCTCAGGGGAACAGTAACCTGGCCTCAACACACCACATTCGGAGGACTCTCAGTGGCCCGCTGAAAGGTGGTATTCTTCCCTAAACTTAAAATCCACAGACACTCCCGTACCCCCACCCCAGGGAGAACCAGACCGCTAGTCTTGTTAGTAGTTGAGTTGTCCCTTCCCCCAAGTCTGGCACCTGTGCTGTGGGCAGTGCCACACTGGGGGCGCGCAGATAGTAGGGGGCGATCGCAGCAGGGCACAGCGAAGCCAGCTCGGACTCAAGCAGCCCCTCCCCGAAACGCTGGTCAAAAAGGCGTCCCGGAGCGGAAAAACCAGGTAAAGGAGCTGAAGCGCGGCGCAGCCAAGAAGGCTGAACAGGCACGGGGATCTCCATTCTGTTCCTCTGCTGCCACCCTGGGCTCCGCAGTGCCCAAGCGCACGCACTCTCCGATTTATACCGTGCCCAGTGCGGCCCCCGCGGCCGGCCTCTCAGGGACACTGGGATTGAGGCCAGACTCAGCCATTAGTATGCCTTATTTAGAAACTTCAATAATGACTTGGCTAGTTATTAAACGCCTGCTGGATGCCTGGAAAAGGACACCAGGGTACTGTTATTAAGCCTTTTCCATTTCTAGAAGGGGAAGCTAATGCTTAAGGAGGCAGACCCTTCTAGGTGTGGCGAACCACTGTGGCAGCAGTTGGGAACCTGGGCCCCGAAGAAGAGTCCATCAAAGAGTTCTCCGTCCTCTTAATCCATGTCCGCCAGGCTGGCATCTGAGGATGACGCACCAGTCTTAGGAAGATTCCTGGAGAATGCTGCAGCCACGCCAGGCTGTCAGAGGACACAGAACAGACCCTACCCCAGAGTAGGTCGGGCCTAATTCTGGGCCTCTGACTCAGCCTCGGGTGCTCAGCGGCCAGGGGGGGCGTGATCATGAACACTCCAGGTCGGCCCCCAGGGGCTGAGCGCCGGGACCAGAAATAGCTCGTTTTGATCCTACTGCTTGGGCCAGGAGCCCGGACCTGGCAAGGAGTGAGACCAGCTGCTCAGTAGCAAGAGGAAAGTGGTTAAGGTGACCATTAAGACGGGTTTGCCGGCCAACTGATAGAGGGATGGCCAAGTGAAGACAGACGTCCCCGGTTACCCCCGCAACAGTAGTTAGGCTGGAGCTGGGACTTGGCTCCTGCAACAACTCTGGCGGTTAGGGAAAAAAGGACAGCGTAATAGCCAACACACTCAGCGCTCTTCCAAGCGGCTTCCGAGCCTCTGATCCTTTCTATTGGTCGAAAGTCTTGCCAATGACTGTTGCACACTCCTCGCCTCCAATCAAACAAGCGCCCTCAGCAGCGCTGCAGCCAGTCACGAGGGAACACCCCTCGGCCGCTTTTCCAGTTACTTTTATTTTCTAGACTGTCATTGGTTGCCTTGGAGGCCCCCCCAAAAGGGGCGGAGCTGACAGCGTTACTAAGCGAGGAGGGTAGGCGTCGTGGTGTCCTGTTAAAGAGCTCAGCTGGCACTAACGCTGAGGTAGATGCGGGACGGACTGCAGGTGAGGTTGGTCCCTCCCTCAGAGATCACAGGAAGCCCAGGGAAGGTAACACGGGTTTGCTGGAGCCTGGGGTCTCCGGCCCAACCACACTGGAACTACAACTCCCAAAATGCTACGCAGGTTTTGGCGCTCCAGCCGTGAGCTTCCCCATCCCTGGGATCTCATGTCTTTTGTTCTCTCTGGATGGCTCTAAGGGAGTCTAAAAGAAACTTGGAAATTAAGTTTGTTGGTTTCCAAATTTCCCCAGACAATCATGGGTGTTATCTTTGAACTTCTCGCTTAGGAGGGCCCGGTGGCTCATGGGGATTGTAGTCCATCTACCCCTTCCCTCATTCCACATCCTCCTCCCCTTAACAGATTTCGTTTCCGGTTCTTTGTTGTTCTTTTATTTTTGTCTATTCCTCTTTTGTTGTTTTCGTTCTTCTTTTTTCATTTATGTCTTTTAATTACTTTCTTTTTTTATTCTTATTTTATTTTTATTTTTTTGAGACAAAGTTTCTCTGTGTAGCCCTTAGTTGTCTTGGAACTCACTCTGTAGACCAGACTGGCCTTGAACTCAGAGATCCACCTGCCTCTGCCTCTGCCTTCTGAGTTTTGGGGTTAAAGGCATGGTCCACCATGCCTGGCTAATAAATTACTTGTTTTTTAGTCTTGGTCTTCTTGAAATGGGCTTCATGGAAGATGTTTAAAGAGATTAATTACCATGATTTGATCATAACACGTTGTATACATGTATTGCATACTGCACCTCATAAACGTGTACAATTAACATGTGTCAGTTAAAAACATATAAAACCATACAACAGACCATATTTTACCTGGATGGGGCTGGAGAAAGGGCTCACTCAGAGTTTGGAAGCAGTGACTGGTCTTCCAGAGACCCCAGGTTTGATTCTCAGTACCCACATGGCTGCTCCCCTTCATCTGTAATGTGCTAATTCCAGGGGATTTGACACTTTCTTCTGGCCTTCGAGGGCATTGCACACATGTAGTGCAATAACACTCATACACAAAACATAAAAAGAATTCAATCTTTTTTTTTTAATTGCTTGGATAGTGTGGAGAAGATGCAATGTCTAGCTTGTTTATTGGCATTCTGATTCTGTTAGCTTGGAGTGGGACCATGGTTCTATAGCATGTTATCCTTGTCCATGTAGCCTTTGTGTGTCAGTGCATCTGTTTCTGTGTGTAAGTGTGGAGATCAGACAACCTCAGGTGTCTGTCCTCATCTTCCGCTTTGTCTGTCATCCTCCCATCTCCCTCCCACTCCCACTCCCATTCCCTCCGTCCCCAGCTGAGGACTCAGGGCATTGCACTCACTAGGCAAGTGTCAACCCCAACTTTCACCTTGTTGAGACAGGGTCTCTTTGATGTTTACATCTGAGTACTACAGGTTAGCTGGCCTACAAACTTTTGGGGGGCTCTCCGGTGTCCACCTCCCACCTCAGTGTAGGAGTACTCGGATTGCAGACTTGTGCTAGCACATGGCTTTACATGGGTTCTGTGGATCTGAACACAGGTCCACATGTTTCTGCACAAAGCTCTTTGCTCACTGAGCCATCTCCCCAGCCTCTGGAACTTCTGATCCTCCTGCCTCAGTTTCTTGAGTGTGGGGATGACAGGTGAATATCACATAGGAGTTTGTGGGTTTTTTGTTTGTTTTTTGTATTTCGAGGCAGGGTTTCCCTGTAGCTCTGGAAACTAGCTCTTATAGACCAGGCTGGCCTCGAACTCACAGAGACCTGACTGCTTTGGCTTCCTGAGTGCTGGGATTAAAAGGTGTGTGCCATCACTGCCCATCTGGCAAGTCTATGATTTTAAAAGCCCTTTCCTAAATTTCTGTAATCCTATCACTCAAGAGGTTGAGGCAGGAGGATAACCTGAAGTGCAAAGCTAACCATGGCTGTATACAGAGTGAAACCTTGTCTCAAAAATAAGTAAATAATAAAAGCTCCTCCTAGGCTGGATCCAGAGTTAAGAACTACCAACTACCAGTTCCTAGGTTCTCTTAAGTCTCTTTCAAGAGGTCATGGAATCACACCTCTACGAGCATTGTCTTGACTACGAAGTGATGATTTGTGGGAACTGTAGTCCATCTCTTCCAGGACTCCATGGGAATTGTTAGCTTCTGTCCTCCTTACCATGCTCTGCTTCTTTTGTAGCTTGTCAGTTTTCACAACCCAAGACAACCCCTTTGAAATGTTCTCCAAGGTAGACAACCCTGTTGGCCATCGAGGAGCCAGAACTGGAGCCCCAAGGTGAGGACACGCTTTAGGTAAAGTTCTGTGACATAGACTAACAGCAGGAAGTGACCACTAGAAGGAAGGAAGGCATGTGATGAGAATGGGGATGACCGATTAAGAGAAGTCCCCTGCCCCACTGCTGGTGGCCATCCCACTTCTGGCTCTCTGCCACCTGGGTCCCCAACCACAGCCTCCCTTAGGCTGTCAACTGAACCTTCCACTGGTAACAGTGGGATGTGTCCTCTCTTGGACCTCTATGTGTGTTCATTCCCCACTGGGATCACCCTCTGATCTGATCTTTTCTTCTTGTGATTTCTCCCAATTTAAATCCTGTGTCCATCTAGGTCTCAAAGGCCACAAGCTCTCCAGGCCACAGCAAGCAACTCCCCTGAGCTGTCTGAGGCATCCTGGCCATCTGATTCCGGAACCCCTTCCCCACTCAGCACTGAGGAACAAAGTACCTCTCCACCACTTGCTGTAATTGACAGCGGGGACTCTGTGGTAGCCAAGTAAGTGCCAGAACTCCTGGCGGGGAAGGGAGATCTGGGGCCAAAGGGAGGAAGAAGGCATCCCATAATGACCGTTAGACAGAGCTGTTTACATAGAACTCTTAGGACTGGGCACTTCGTGTGTGTAAGGGAGGAAGAAGGCATCCCATAATAACTGTTAGACAGAGCTGTTACACAGTACTCTTAGGACCGGGCACTTCATGTGTGTTATTGAGGGGTCTGGAGCTTGCCTGGGTTCAGGTCCTGCCTCGGTTAATTATTCTCTGCATTGCTTTGGTCTCAGTTTCCTTGAATTGGGAATGCTAAGCACACACATGCACTGTGACTGTTCTGAATCCGCGGTTCCTCCACATACTGATCTATGAGAACACGCATCGCAGAGTGAGTCCCTGGGTCTGAAAGATAGAGGTCTCCCTCAGCTAGGGGTCCCGACAGAAGCAACCAGGGCTGACATTGCAGGCATTATTTAAGGTGATAGGAACATAGGTTCTGTCTATCTTATTGTTGTTCTATCTCTAAGCTATTGTCCTTTCCTTCATAGGCCAAAATGGTCATCACTGACATTCCTCTTCCAGATTCATACTCCCTTATTCTTTGTTGCTCCAGAGCCAGTCTGGCTGGTGATGTAGCTCAGCTGTTAGCGCATCTGTCTAACATGCACTGGGCCCTTGGTTTGATTCCCAAAGCCACAGAAAATGAGGCATAGTGATGTATGCCTGTAGACTCAGCATTTTGGAGGTAGAGGCAGCTGGGCCGTGGTGGCAGACACCTTTAATCCCAGCACTCAGGAGGCAGAGCAGGTGGATCTCTGTGAGTTCAAGGCCAACCTGTTCTAAAAGAGCTAGTTCCAGGACAGGCTCCAAAGCTACAGAGAAACCCTGTCTCGAAAAACCAAAAAAAAAAAAAAAAAAAAAAGGTAGTGGCAGAAGGATCAGAAGTTCAAGGTCACTCTTAGCTAGTAGTGAATTCAAAACCAGCCTAAGTTAAATGATACCTTGTGTAAAAACAAAAGAGAAGGGGCCAGCAAGATGGCTCAGTGGGTAACTGGCAACCTGGGTTTGATTCCAAGACTCCACATGAAGACGGAAAGGGAGGACTGACTCCACAAAGTTGTCTTTTGTGATGTGTGTGCTATCCCATACACATCAAGTGTGAGAAAGCACACGTACAGCTGGGCAGTAGTCACGCACACCTTCAACCCCAGCACTCAGGAGGCAGAGGCAGGGGGATCTCTGAGTTCAAGGTCAGTCTGGTCTACAGAGTTAGTTCCAGAACAGCCAGGGTTACCCAAAGAAACCCTGCCTCAAAAAAATCAAAAGAGAAAAAAATTAAAGAAAATTAATATCGGGACGGCTATATGACTCAATGGATAAAGGTGCTTGCCACCAAGCCTGACAACCCCAGGCCAATCCCTGAGACCCATCTACACATGTGCACTGTAGCATGCCCCTTCAAGTGTGCACCCATG